CCTAAAGGCCCCAAGGAGTAAGAAAAACCCGGATGATAGTGATGAGTCCCATTGCAACTCCCCTAAAAGATACATAATTAAAAGAAGAAAACGGCAATGTCGTAATTAGAAGAGTCCTAATTCTGCAAAGCACTTGGTGACTGAACTCAGAATCAGCGTTGATCCAGCAATCTTTTTTTTAAAAAAGGAAATAATATTACCGGTATTTGCTTAAAGAATATTCCATTGTTGTGCCTCACTTTGTCCACTTGGTGGCTCCATAAAACAAGTTGTGCATTTTCCCATACTGAAGCAAAACTCGGTGTCTGAAATGCAGAAACCTCTGTGAATACTCAACTTTCCAGAGGGCACCTTGGTCAGCATTATGACTGGTATAATGTGAACATCTGTTTCATTAATATGAGAGCTACTGGGATATGGGGAATTGAATGACTTGGAACAAAGGACCTTGGTTGGAAATCTCTGCCAGCTGTGCTGAAGCCACCTGCTCTCAGAATCACCTTTGGGTGGGGCATTTTTAGAGGATAAGATGGGACAGTCATGTGAACACTGTTCTGAGGACATTGGGGGAAGGAGGGCTACGTACACAGCACACATTTAAAGCACCTTCCTGCCCCAAGAATTCTGGGAACCCTGGTTTTTTTTTTAAGAGGTTGGGAATTGTTACGCTGTGAGGGATAAACTACTTGTGTGAATGGGCTATCACAGATCTATGCCAGAGACAAAAAGTCCTGGCAGCCAGCTTCTCTGTCAGTGGTGTCACAGATTCAGTGTCCAGTCATCAACCTGTATTTTCATCACTTGATGACTCCAACATCAAGTGATAACTTGCATCTGTATAAATGAATCTAGTAGGTCATTTGTATGATTCTTAGCAGAAAACATAGCATAAAGGTAAATAGGAAGCAAAAGAAAAAAGCATTTTACAGTGAGAAAAGAACTTCTGAAGACAGCAAAAATTGTAATCAAGTAATCTGGAGGATGCTGCAACACACACAATGCAGAGCATGCCATACAAATAGCTTATAAGAATGCTATTGCTAACAATAACATTAAAGGATTCATAGAAATAAATTCTATTGTAAAGTGAGGTTGCTATTGTGTAAATACTGAGAGTATTTATCTTGTGGGCATTCTGCCCTTCTGTGTGGGCTTTGGCATCTGTGTGCTGCCAGTATGTTTGTGTGTGTGTGTGTGTGTGTGTGTGTGTGTGAGAGAGAGAGAGAGAGAGAGAGAGAGAGAGAGAGAGAGAGAGAGAGAATGCATGCAGGGCTAGGGAGCCATATTGAGTTGGGTGGTAACTTGCAGGGAAGCATACATACATAATGGACAAGGGGTGCAGGTACCAGGGTGGACCAGGAATGCAGAGTCAAGCATGCCTGTTCCTTTCCAGACCTGAGCTTGAGGAAAATGAGTTTTGCAGAGTTGGAAACAATACAGCACTGACTAACTCAGTGAATCCCAAAGTGGGCAGTACTTGGGGGGGGGCAGATTACCTAGCAGGGTGCTAAGAGGCAAACGAGTGGTGGGGTGTGTGTGCTAAAGGTGTAAATGACTATCATACCTTGAAAAGTTGTCATCCTTAGGTCAGGTTCATCAGTTAATTAAACCAAATAATTTTAATTAGATTTTGCAATTAATTTGTTTGAATTTTATGGTGTTCTTATCTTCTTCTGTGGTTGGTGTGGGCCACTGATCTGAATAATGCTTTGGTGGGGGTGGGGCACTGGGGAGGAGTTTACAGAGCCAAGGGGGTAGTGACCCCAAAACACTTGGGAACCTCCGGACTCACGTGATGCTGAGGTTCCACCGTCACCCTTTCCCCAGAGCAGTTAAAAGGGCAGATTTGTTGCTGTTGCTGTTTCTGTGTGAATTTATAATCACATAAATAAATGAAATAATAACTAAATGTGCAAGGAGCATTTAAATAATTTAAACAAGGTTGTGCAGATATTTCTTGTAGGGTAGGGCAAATCAACAACTATTTCAGCGTTCAGAAGGGAAACAGCTACACCAGCTGATTGAAAATTGATCCTGGTTTGCTGTTTGGTACACCCAAAGACACAGGTGTGATATTTACAGCTGATTTGCACAACTTTCTAGGGCTTCAGAGGCATGGTGCTTTCTTTGGAGACCTAATTCTCTTTTGTAGATGCTAACTGTTGGGGTGCTTGCTCCTTGATACTCAGCTTGAATATTAGTGTGTGTGTGTGTGTGTGTGTGTGTGTGTGTGTGTTGTGTGTGTGTGTGTATTAGGGGTGGCACAGAGAGAAGAAAGACCATGGTGCACCTGTAGCAACAAAACCAGGTGTCTTCTTCTGCCCCACCTGCAATAAAACATGTCTCTCCTGTACAGTGGTACCTTGGGTTACAGACGCTTCAGGTTTCAGACTCCACTAACCCAGAAAAAGTACTTCAGGTTAAGAACTTTGCTTCAGGATGAGAACAGAAATTGCGTGGCAGCAGCGGGAGGCCCCATTAGCTAAAGTGGTACCTCAGGTTAAGAACAATTTCAGGTTAATTTCAGGCGCTGTAACTCTCCAACAGTTTTACATTGTTCCCAAAGATGCACTCTTCCATTGTCTCCTGACACACACACACACACACACACAGAGAGAGAGAGAGAGAGAGAGAGAGAGAGAGAGAGAGAGAGGAGAGAGAAATTTAGGCTACAGTCTCTCACCTGGGAGAAAGCATCACTGAAAACAACAGGACTGACTTTTGACTAGAAACATATAGGATTGCGTAAATCTTGCAGAGATGGGCCCTGGAACCTTTCATACTGCAGGATATCATGCAGACTACCACAGCTTGCAAGGATATGAATGTCCACATGCTGCTCATGAGCGCCTTCATCGAACCATAGAGTATCCTTCGCTGAGTGATACTAGCCCATCAGGCATAAAACATTTCCTTGCTTCTGACATCTTACTTAACTTGCTGACAACTTTCCCTTTCTCATTTGTAATATATCACCCTTCCACCGTATTCCAGTGCGATTGTTACTGAAGTGGCAGCAGCCAAGAAGAGAGAACCCTGTGACTAGTGCAAGGATAGGAGCAGCTCAAAGTCACCAGCAGACAATACCTGAGGTAATCCCTTGATCTGCTCCTAATCCACAATAATTGCTTTGGGGCTTAATTGGACAACATAATTTTCTTACTTAAGGATTGGTAATGCCTTTTCCCTCCCAGAAATGGATTCAGATGGCTTTAGGGTTAACTCCTGGCCTTCAAACCATATATATATATTTCTAACTTTCAATTTTTCAATAAATTGACTGCTCCTCTGGGATCCCTTCTGTGATGCCACGATGCTTGGATGGCTGCATTTTGCCCTATGGACTGAGGTTCTTTACCATGGATAGGCAAACTAAGGCCCGGGGGCCGGATCCAGCCCAATTGCCTTCTAAATCCGGCCTGCGGATGGTCCAGGAATCAGAGTGTTTTTACATGAGTAGAATGTGTCCTTTTATTTAAAATGCATATCTGGGTTAATTGTGGGGCCTGCCTGGTGTTTTTACATGAGTAGAATGTGTGCTTTTCTTTAAAATGCATCTCAGGGTTATTTGTGAGGCATAGGAATTTGTTCTTCCTTTTTTCAAAATATAGTCCGGCCCCCCACAAGGCCTGAGGGACAGTGGACCAGCCCCCTGCTGAAAATGTTTGCTGACCCCTGTTCTTCGCCCTTGATCTACACCTCTGTGCCCTCTAAATTATTCTCCAGAAGCATTGGGATCAGGACAATTAGAAAACTACATAAATATTTGCGGAGAGAGTTACTGTGCCTCCTCCTTGTTCTGTCTCTCCAAGTAGGAAGATTATGCGAAGGTGCCAAAAGAATGAACTGGGTGGTTTGAGTGAGCTTGAGAGCTGCTTTTGGCTGGCAGGAAATAGGTCCCTGTGCTCCACCTTCCTCCCACAACACGGAGAAGCACATTGACAAGGCACATTCTCTCTGACTGAACTCCCCCATTGTTCATTAACTAAAGGCTTGGGCTGATTTTGTATTGTAATGGATAAGATGGAGATCTAGAAGGCACAGGAAAAGGGAGAAGAAAGCATATCAAAGGCAGAGCTAAAACAAATTTGCCCCCCTCTAGGAATTGGATGTGGTTAAAGGCCAATGCCTCCTAACTCTGAAAACATTGAACTGTGACTCAATGATGTTAGGCAAGAGACCAAGGTGTATGAAGCTGCCCTTAATGACTTTCTCCCCTGGGAGGTGGTACAGTTAAATACAGTGGTGCCCCGCAAGACGAATGCCTCGCAAGACGGAAAACCCGCTAGACGAAAGGGTTTTCCGTTTTGGAGGTGCTTCGCAAAACGAATTTCCTATGGGCTTGTTTCGCAGGATGAAATGTCTTGCAAGTTCCTGCAGGTTTTTTTCCTCCCCCCCCCCTTTTTCCCAAGCCGCTAAGCCGGCTTATCAGCTGATCCGCTAAGCCGCTTAACAGCTGATCCGCTAAGCCGCTTATCAGCTGATCGCTAAGCCGCTTAACAGCTGATCCGCTAAGCCGCTAAGCCGCTAATAGCGCTAATCCGCTAAGCCGCTAATGGGCTTGCTTCGCAAGACGAAAAAAACTACAAGACGAAGAGAATTGCGGAGCGGATTCTTTTCGTCTTGCGAGGCACCACTGTACGTCCCCCAGTTATTTGCAAACAAGCTACCAGCATGAGTTTGACCAAACTGCGGGAGGCAGTGGAAGACAGGATTGCCCTGGCCTGCTCTGGTCACGAAGAGTCAGACAAGACTAAACAACTAAACAAACAACAAGGAAGTGAATGCTAGGAGGAAGTTGGCTTTTCCTAGAAGTTACTAAAGAATGGGCTGGTAACAACTCTGAATTATTATTATTTCTTAAATGGGGAAACTTAATCATGAGTGCTTTTTAATATCCGCCCTCCCTTCCCCACAGGTGGGCGGGGTTTGCGGCATCAAGCGAGGCTCACCTGGGCGGCGGCCACCCACCTGCTTGAGCTGGCCTTTGACCCGCCCTCGGCCAGGGAGGACAATGGACGGCCGGCTGGGCCTAAGGCCAAAAGAAAAGAGGCTGACCCCTGAGCTCAAGCCTCTTTTGCTGTTCTTCCTTCTGGGATCAAGATCAGGACCAGGAGCATATCCAGGCGGCCGGACTGAGGTAAGTAACCGGCATTCTTTATTTTGCTTGCATTTGGGCGGCCGGGGGGGGCATCGCTCCCCTCCGCTGCCTGCCCAGTGCCCCTTCCGACCCAGGCGGGCAGCGCGGGGCTCCAGCAAGGCCGCGGCTGGGCCTGCTTGCTTTTTTCGGCAGGGGGGCACCAGGTGGGCGGTGCGGGCCTGACTAGGCCGCAAATGCGGCCTAGTCCCTTTTCCCAGCGGCGGGGGGGGGGCGGCATTGCCCCCCACCACTGCCTGCCAGCCCAGGAGGGTGGCACAGGCTTGACTAGGCCTCAAAACGTGGCCTAGTCCCTTTTCCCAGCGGCGGGGAGGCGGCATTGCCCCCCCCCCACTGCATGCCAGCCCTGGAGGGCGGCACAGGCCTGCCTAGGCCTCAAAACGCGGCCTAGTCCCCTTTTCCCAGCGGCGGGGGGGGCGGCATTGCCCCCGCAGGAGGCCCTGCTGACCCAGGAGGCTCTGTTGAGATTTATGATTTAATTTGTCTGTTGAGGCTTATTTTTGTGGTTTGTTGAATCTGCTCCTGCCAACCCGAGCGGGATGCACAGGCCCCAGCTAGGCAGCAGCCACTGCCTGCTTGTTTTTGCAGCTGGGGGGTGGCATTGCTGCCAGCCACTGGTGTTGCTGGCCAAAATGTGGCGCGGGCCTCAGCTGGGCCGCTAGGCCGGCCTGCTGTTTTGCCACCCACAGAAGAGGGCCACAAGGCGACCTTTTTGAGCTGAATCATGCTGGGGAGGGATTGCCTCGCCAGGCTGCAGGGCAACCCACTTCAGTTTTTCCTTATTGGGGGGGGGGGGACTAAGTCAGGCCGCATGGCGGTCATGCTTCCACCCCACCCCACCCCCGTTCCCCCTAGTTGGTCTTCAGGATGTGTGCTAACTGCCTCTATTTTTTGCAGTCTTAGCGTTTGTGCGCATTTAGGTTGGCTGGTTCTGTCTTTCACCAAAACATTCCGATTGCAAATATAAATAAATCTAATAATTATAATTAATATAACAAACAAACAAAAACAAACAAACAAAAGCAAATACAACAAACTGCCATCATACTTAGGTATTTGTAGGTCTTAGTAGTGGTTGACTTGCTTCAAGGTGCATTATGTCTCTAGCCGTGGCTGCTGATCAAAGAGAAGGCTCCCCCTCGCACTCTCTTGGTGCCGTAGGGGTGGGCACCCCAAGAGCCGCATCGAGGGGTACCCCTAGCAACGCAGTAAAGGCAGCCAACAGGTTTTTAAAAAGGGCCTTGTCTTCCAGCCGGAAGGTCCCACCTATGAAGTTAATTATCTCTAAGAAAAAAGTGAGGGAGTATGGCCCCTCCACCTCTGATTCCAGGCCCTACAGGGCCCTTCCTAAGAAGAAAAAGCGGGCATACACACAGGAGCTCACTGCTGAGAGCGATTCTTCCCAGTCCAGTGACGACGATGTGCAGGAATTGCTGCGTCAGAACCACATCCTGCAGCGTCGCCTGGCTAGGGCTAAGGAGCGCTTAGATAAGTCTAAGTCCTCCTGTCGACGCTCCCGCGAGGGTAGGCTTATGCATAGGTCACCGGTTTCGAGTTCATCAGACAGCTCCTCCAGCCCTGATTCGCGCAGAACACGTCGCAGGAAGAAGAGGTCTTGCAGATTGAGGAAGCATGGGCGTAAGTGCAGGAGGGACTCTTCGGATTCTTCAGATCTTTCAGGTACGTGTGATTCCTCCTGTGGCGAGTCGGAAGAACGGTGCAAAGGGTACTGGGTTACTACCCACAAGGCCCCTGGCCTGCCTAGTTGGATTTGGGAACGTCGCACCCAAAATGGGGGGCAAATTTAAGGGAAGGTGCGGGCATCTAACTTCAAGACCACGGATCAGCCTCCTGGCATCCAGCTTAAAAAGAATATACGCAACCGCATTCTAAATGGGGAATTTGTGGACTTGTTTGCCCTGCTCTCCCCAGCTTATTATTGTAGTTCAAAGTTTAAGCCTAAATCGCGTCACAAGAAGGAGAAGGCAGTGGATATTGATAGAACTTTTGACAATTGGCTAGCTGCTTTCGCCTCTTACATGGGTTTGGTGGCCGCTGCTTACCCAGATAGGGCTTGGCACTTGGCTAACTATCTGGGCATTATCTTAAAAGCCAAAAAAATGGCAGGGGACTCAGCGGCTTTGGCTTACGATGAGCTGTTCTGTGAGAGGGCTGCTGAAGAACCCACAGCCCGTTGGGACATCAAGGATAATGATCTTTGGTCCGAAGTAGTGGCCCCAAACTTCCAAAAAAGGTCTTTTGGGGAGAAGTCAGGTAAACCCCCCTCCAAAGTGCAAAGGGTGGCTATATCAACATGTTGGGAGTTTAATAATGGGTTGTGCAGCAGGGACCGATGCCGCTTAGACCATGCTTGTGAGCGTTGTGGTGGTCCTCACTCACGGACTAAGTGTTTTCGGGCTAAGCCCCCTTTTCGCAGTTTTTCGAAAAACAGGATCAGGGAGTGGAGCCAAGGACGCGAAGGGAGACTCAGGAGCCTCTACCTCTGGAGCCCAGCAAGCCAAGGCTGCCTCCCAGAAATGAGGTTTTTTCCCACCCTAGCCCCAACCCCTGTCCGCCTCTCCGCGATGTTACCTTTGTTACAGGCTTATCCCAACAGGACTGCAGCCAACTACTTGGAAGCAGGGTTTCGTTTTGGCTTCCGCATCCCTGTCTCCAATACACCGGTATCCAGAACCCCTCCTAATCGAAAAGTCGGTAATGGAAATGCCCCTTGTTGCTTTTAACAAAATTGAAAAAGAGTGGCGTTTAGGCAGGATGGCCGGCCCTTTCCCGGCTCCCGCTTTCAAAAAGTTTATAGCTTCCCCTCTTGGCATGGTGCCCAAAAAACTTCCTGGTGAGTTCTGCATGATACACAACCTTTCTTATCCTACTGGTGGGTCTGTAAACGACGCCATACCACGGGAGCTTTCTTCAGTTAAATATGCATCCTTGGATGTGGCCATTAAAATGATTAGGGAATTGGGCACTGGGGCCTTATTAGCAAAATGTGACATCGAGTCAGCCTTTCGGCTGCTCCCAGTTCATCCTGAAGATTCAAATTCAGGGATAGCTGGTACTTTGACAAGGCTATGCCCATGGGCTGCTCTGTGGCCTGTGCAGCCTTTGAAACCTTCAGCACATTCATTGAATGGGCCTTCAAAACCACATCTGGTTCCCCTTTTGTGACCCATTACTTAGATGACTTTCTTATCATTGGGGCCCCAGACTCCCCCAACTGTGCCCTATCCCTAGCTACATTCATGCGCCTTGCAGCTGACTTTGGCATACCTCTGGCTGCTGACAAGACCGAGGGCCCTTCGACTATCCTTTCCTACTTGGGTATTGAATTGGACACAATTCGGCAGTCGTCGCGCCTACCGCAAACCAAGTTGGAATCCTTGAAAGTTTTGCTGGAGGCAATGCTTGGGGTTAAGAAGACCACCCTTCGCCAGGTGCAATCCCTGTTGGGTCATCTTAATTTTGCATGTAGAGTAGTGGCGCCAGGCCATGCCTTTTGTGCCTGTCTGGCACGGCTCACAGCTGGGGGGGTAGCCCCCCACCATCACATCAGGGTGACAAAGCAGATAAAGGACGATCTGAGGGTTTGGCTTGCATTCCTGCAGGATTATAATGGGTTTTCTTTTTGGCAGAAGTGCCTTAACCCCAGGGCGGAGTTCCAGGTTCATTCTGATGCTTCTGGCCGCTTTGGCATGTTCTTCAGGGGACATTGGTGCGCCCAGCCGTGGCCATCTTCTTGGCACGCAGCAGGCATTACTCGGGATTTAACCTTTCTGGAGTTCTTTCCTATTCTAGTCGCCATTCGCATCTGGGGAACCCTCTTTTCGAATTCCAGGGTCTGTTTCTGGTCTGACAATGAAGCAGTGGTAAGAGTTATATCTAGGCAGTCAGCAAAGTCCCAGAGGGTCATAAGGGTCCTGCGCCTGTTTGTCTTGGAGTGCCTGCGGCACAATATTTATTTCACTGCCCGCTTCATACCTGGCCTTAACAATAACATTGCTGATGCCCTGTCTCGTTTCCAGATGGAGCGTTTCCGCGAACTGGCACCAGGAGCGGCCCAGTCCCCAGACGCCTTCCCAGACGATCTGTGGGAGATTGGAAGCGAGAAGTAAACCAGGGAGTATTGGCAGCAATAGCACCCTCCACTAGACGTTCTTATTCCAGGGCCTGGGATGCCTTTGGCCACTTTCGTGGCTCTGCAACACGGCGCGCATCTGAGGAGGAGGTGCTTCAGTTCTTGGTGCTACTAAAGCGCAAGGGCCTTGCCATAAAACCTTTAATGCTTTACAGGGCAGCTATTTCTTTCTTTTGTAAATTCCGTCACTGGCCAGATCCCAGTGACAGCTTCCATGTCAAGAAGTTACTGGCTGGGTGGCGGCGTGTCATTCCCCCTCGTCAGGATGCCAGGAAGCCTATCACCATAGACATACTTTATCTAATTTGGAAAAAACTACCAGAGATCTGCTGGTCAAATTTCGAAATGCGTCTCTTTCGGGCAGCATTTTCCCTAGCCTTTTTTGGTGCCATGCGCATTGGGGAGTGTTTGGCTGGGCCCCTGCAATCAGGGTTGGCAGACAACAACATCAAGTTCTCTGGGCATACGTTGAATGTAAAGATTCGGTCCTCAAAAACTGACCAGTTGCAGAAAGGGGTCACGCTCGCGCTGTCCCCAACGGAATAGGCGGGCCCCTGCCCATATCGCAACACACGCCGCTTCTTCAGGGTCTGGCCCCAGTGCAAGGGCCCTTTCTTCATTCACTCAAACACGTGTCCGTTGACGCGATCACAATTCACAGCGGTTTTACGCAAAGCCTTATCTGCCTGCAGTGTTAGTCCCCAGGAATATTCCGGGCACTTGTTTCGTATCAGGGCTGCTACTTCAGCAGCGATACAGGGTTGGGACTCCGCACACATAAAGACACTGGGCCGCTGGTGCTCGACAGCCTGCAAAAGTTACATTCGTCCCGGCTCCTCCTCCTTATCACTTGCAATTTAATTGTCTTACAGGTTTGCTCACCATGAAGATCTGGGTGATAGGCCACAGCATTGTCCATTGGGAAGCGGATTATGCACGGTCTCAAAATCGTGGCCATAACCTTAACATCCACCCCAAGGCACGCTTTTATTGGATGGCCCAGCGGGGCATGCGTTGGCGGAGCTTGATGCCCATGCTGCATAGTGCCGCAGCGACCCATGATCCTCCAAGGGTCTTGATTATACATGCGGGGGAGAACGATCTAGTGGAGCAAAAAGGCATTGCCCTTACCCTTGCTGCAAGGTCAGGTCTAAAAAGCCTGCATGCCTTGTACCCATCAATGACCATCGGCTGGTCCAATCTCCTACCCCGTCTTCACTGGAGGGGGGCTTCCAATCCCTCTCGCCTCAATTATGCGGTGAGTAAAATTAACAGGGCCATGCGCAACACCATGCGCCAAATTGGTGGGTTCTCTATCCCACATCCCACCATCACATCAGATAGAGTTGACTTATTCCGGGGGGCGGGGTGCACCTGACCCCACTGGGCAATGACGTCTGGCTCCACGACTTGCGACAAGCCCTTGGGGACTGGATAGATTGCGGGGTTTAATTGGTCCTCGGTTGTGGGACTTGGCGGTGAGGCCCCTTAGGGCCTTGAGTGGCGGTTTTAGGCCTTGGCAAGGTAGCCTTTAGTCTAACATCAAGTTGGGGGGGGGATGCATTCATGCTCCCTCCCCATGCGGCGGCGCGTGTAAGTTTGCGCTTTGCAGTCCCCTCTCACTGGGCCTCAACTGCCTGCATATCCTCAGCCAGGTGGGCTGAGAGGGTTACCTGCCAAGGCCTGTGCCAAGTTTCCCACTTCTGAAGTTCAATAAAGTTGTGGCCAATTTGAACCCATACTCTGGTCTCTTGTGTTATCATTTGGGGAAAGGGGTAGGCACCACAGACAGGGTTTAATCATGAGTGCTTTTTTAAAATGTAGATAAGCACCAGTGTGTGATTCTGAACCACTACTAGCAACTTCACATCCTGCAAAAAAACTGTTAGAAATTACCTAAAGCACATTCCAGTGGTGGGTTCTTCTGCATAAACACCATTAAATGCAATGCTCTTACACAGCTCCCATTCCTTTCAATGGCACTTGCACAGGATCAAACCTGTTATCAGCTTAACTTTTTCCCTGCTATCCCCACCGCACCCCCCACCCTGGCTCAGTTACCATGGCATGAGGAGGAGAGTGAGGAGGAGACCGCAGAAGCAGAGGTGGCACCGTGTGAGTGTTTGGGGCGGGGGTTCTGGGCCTAAGCAGTAGCATGGAAGGAAAGGAGGTCACTTCAGAATCCAGGAGATGCTGAGCAGCTGAGAGAGCTTGAGCACCAGAGGTCATCACAGGCCGATAGTAGGAAAGAAAGGCCGAGAAAAAGATAAGGCAAAGCCTTGGAAACCCTTTAAGATAGGGGCAAGGAAAGTGTTCTGAATGCAGAAAGGAATCAAGTAGCAGCTGATAATGTATTTCCCTTGCTGAAATATTCCTCATCTCTCCATCTTCTCTCTTGATCCTCATTTTCTTTTTTTTTCTTTTTAAATTTATTTTCATTGAAGTTTTATCTCTACAAAAATCTGAATGCTGTGATCACCAATAGTCAGCATGGATTTCTGAAAAATAAGTCATGTCAGACTAACCTGATCTCGTTTTTTGACAGAATTACAAGCCTGGTAGATGAAGGGAACGCAGTGGATGTAGTCTACCTTGATTTCAGCAAGGCATTTGACAAGGTGCCCCATGATATTCTTGTAAAGAAGCTGGTAAAATGCGGTATTGACTATGCTACCACTCAATGGATTTGTAACTGGCTGACTGACCGAACCCAAAGGGTGCTCATCAATGGTTCCTCTTCATCCTGGAGAAGAGTGACTAGTGGGGTGCCACAGGGTTCTGTCTTGGGCCCGGTCTTATTCAACATCTTTATCAACGACTTGGATGATGGACTCAAGGGCATCCTGATCAAATTTGCAGATGACACCAAACTGGGAGGGTGGCTAACACCCCAGAGGACAGGATCACACTTCAAAACGACCTTGACAGATTAGAGAACTGGGCCCAAACAAACAAGATGAATTTTAACAGGGAGAAATGTAAAGTATTGCACTTGGGCAAAAAAAATGAGAGGCACAAATACAAGATGGGTGACACCTGGCTTGAGAGCAGTACATGTGAAATGGATCTAGGAGTCTTGGTTGACCACAAACTTGACATGAGCCAACAGTGTGACGCGGCAGCTAAAAAAGCCAATGCAATTCTGGGCTGCATCAATAGGAGTATAGCATCTAGATCAAGGGAAGTAATAGTGCCACTGTATTCTGCTTTGGTCAGACCTCACCTGGAGTACTGTGTCCAGTTCTGGGCACCACAGTTCAAGAAGGGACAGTGACAAACTCGAACGTGTCCAGAGGAGGGCAACCAAAATGGTCAAAGGCCTGGAAACGATGCCTTATGAGGAACGGCTAAGGGAGCTGGGCATGTTTAGCCTGGAGAAGAGGAGGTTAAGGGGTGATATGATAGCCATGTTCAAATATATAAAAGGATGTCATATAGAGGAGGGAGAAAGGTTGTTTTCTGCTGCTATCTTGATCCTAATTTTCATATACTTCTCAGCCTCAAACACAGATCAGGAACAGAATTCCCTTGCAACCTAGTTTTAAGACTCACAGCCCCACCAGCAGAGTTATTGTGGACAACCTAACTGCTGTTCCAACGCAAACACTATTTCGGCCCAAGAACCCAAGACAGGGTGTAATGCTGACATTGCAGAGGCATGACAAAGACATTGCAGGCAAATTTGCTGGTGCCAAATGTTCTGAATTTAAGCGCCCATCAAATTGGTCTATCAATTATTAAACAGAACTCTGCATAATTGTTGCTCACTTTATATAGATTTCTGGTAAACAAGAGTCTGATTGATTTGATATTTTTTTTAACCATAATGCTGCTTAGGACCAAAAACAAACACAATCCCACTTCTCTGCTCAGCAGAGAATCACAGTTGCCAGAGGCAAGAGCAGCTTCATAGCTGTGCATATTCGGGCTGTATGAGAAATCTTGGAGCCAGCTGAAGGAGCTGCCTGGAACTGTGCAGAGATATGCCTCAGGGCGCCCCCCCCCCCAGGAGAGGAAGAGAAGTGGGGCAGGCAAGCTGGGATGGAGGATGGCCGCTCAAGACCTCTTGACTAGCTCTGGCAATCACTTCAATTGCAAGCTAGAAATAGTTCTCTGCATTTGGTGGATTTCCTCATAGAAAACTCAGTGGAGAAGGGTTCTAGCCCTGATGTGCACAAAATTATTCTCTATTAGTCATGAGGTGGTAAAACTGAGATAAGAGGTTTATCCACCTCAGGAAGAAGAAAAACCCTAGGCCTTCACCACAACTTACTGTTTTCCCCTGGATTATGCTGTATGGGTTGTGATATGAACTAAGAATACATTTTCCCTTGGAAGAAATTGGCCCCTAATAAATTTATAATCTTAATTTTAGCCAGGATTACTTGGATGGAATTCAGAATTCCCTGGATGGTATCCTCCTCTGAATTTGTCAATTATGAACAATTATGAGCTGTACAATTATGAGAGAAGAGATACATAATTTTTCTCCTTATAATACAAAGAATGTTAGGCTGGATTCCAATTCTTTGTCATATTGGAGTGTGACTTTATATTGTGATAGACAGGTAGGTGGATATAGATGATAGATAGATTAGATGATAGATAGACAGATGATAGATAGATAGATAGAGATAGATAGATAGATAGATAGATAGATAGATAGATAGATAGATAGATAGATGATAGATAGATAGATAGGTGATAGATAGATAGATGATATAGATGATAGATAGATGATAGATAGATAGATAGATGATAGATAGATAGATAGATAGATAGATAGATAGATAGATAGATTTTATAGAAAAGTATGATGACTAAATCCTAGAAAGTATTAAAATGTGCAGCCTCAGAATGCAAAAACAGAAGATTCTGTGTTTTGGTTTCTGTCACGAGGAAGCCATGAAGAGGGCTGAAATAAAAGACAATTGTCTGCAATTTTCTTAGGCAAATGGTTTGTCCATTTCTTCAGCCCACCTGCAGAGTGGCTGCATGGCGGCTTTGGCTGCAACAGGGCCATGTATTGATGCCATTTTAAGTCAATGGGAGTTCTGCCAATGATTTCAAGGCAAGTAATATTGGGGTCATTGTAAGTGCGAGTTCATATAAAAACAACATCCTGAAACCGTCTCAAATAATCCTATCATAATGACAGCCATAATTTTCATCTAAATAACAACGAGGCCATAGAAACCTTTCCGCAATCAAATCAGCAGTCAAATAACCAACGGCAATTGGAAAATCAGTTAACATACTAATTCTTTTGTTAGGTTTAAATATAATAATAATTGGGGAAGGGAATGTATAGTTTCACATGAATCGTCCTGCTGACATGTATGGGAAAACAGGCTTTTAAATAACAAGCTATTCACTTAGTCTATTGAGTTCCTAACAAAATGACATGAAATCTAACAGACAAAAATGTGTAGAAACATGTAAAACAAGTGGATCCCTCAATATTAGTTGGAGGCAGCCTCTGCTCTCCCACCGCCCTTCCCCTTCAACGCCGGATGACCGCCTCCAAGGTTAGGCCCATAAGAATGACTTGGAGGGCTGAGTGAGAGTGACCTGACTATGGCAAGCTCATTTAGCCTTGCTAATCACAAGGGGCACTAACAGACACTGTTTCTTTTGGCCTTCTCTTCCAATGAACACAAGGCCAAGTCTTCATATGTGCTGGAGCTGGATAAAAACCATTGTCACTAACTCTAGCATAAGATACTAAAAGCTTGACCAGTCTGATATTTGGCTGCAAATATCTCCCTGAAACAGAGTTATGTGGGCTTATGTAAGAGAGTGGCAGGTTCCCCCTCACTTCCAGCGAGGGCCAGCCCACCCATGAGGCAAGGTGAAGTGACCGTCTGAGGCAGCAGGATCCACAGGAACAGCAGATGCAGCCTTGAAGGAAGGTACCAAGGAATGCACCGGCTGCTGCTTCTGCTGCTGCTGTGGACAGCTGCAGCACACTCTTTGGAGGCCAGATGTGCTGCCTCCATGACAGTGCCCTCTCCAGTGCTGCCTCTACAACAGCCTCTTGGTGAATAGGAGGCGCTGCTGGTCTTCTTCCACCCTTGTTCCTAGTGCAGAGCTTCACTCAACCCTTCTTCCCTGGTGGAGGGAGCACCATTTTGTGGTTCACCTCAGGTGCCAAAAGGTTTTGGACCGGCCCTCAGACTCCTTCCTAGTCAGAAACTATCCCTGCCCCTCTGCCACCCCAGAAGACACTGCCTATATGTACTCCAAGGGATGGAAATATCATTTTTATCCTATTGGATCTTCTTTCTGCTTCTTTTCTAACATATATCCCTGACAACCTCAGGCTGACCTTTTACTTCATAACTTTCTTTCTTAATTACTTTTTTTAAAAAAAGAAAGCTCAGCATCTGACACACACACACACATGCTGCCCGAGGACACCAATGAAGGCCTTTGTGGGCATGGCATATCCTCCAACATTTCTCAGATGAGAAGAGAGACATCCTATTCTACAGCAGGAAGCTTCTCCCAAGTTTGATCTCGCCACACACATATATGTAATATACACATATACATCTCTAAGCAAGAATAATTCAACAAGAATACTTTAAGAACAGTAGTACAGCACAGTAGGTAGAAGCTCAACAGTACAGCACAATGACATATTACACCCATCTGCTTAGAAGACTTTGTAAAGCCTGGGGAAATAAGAAGGGTGTTGGAGCTAAAATGGCATCAGGGTAGGCACCAGGTGAACTACCTGAGGGAACAATTTCCAGAGCTCACCAAAAAAGATCTCTTTCTGGGAGGCACCCATCTTACGTCAGAAGGTCAGGGCAGCTGAGGAAGAGCCACAGAGTATAACCTCTGTGGACAGGAGGCCTAGTACATGAAAAGATGGCCCAACAAAGACCTGAGTCCCAAACTGGCAAGCACCAGTTCTGAATATCAGGTCTTGGGGAGAGACTTCTGGGCAGAGCTTTTGCCTTCACAGCTTCCCAAGTGCACATGAGTGACTACTGTTGGAAACAGGGCACTATTCTGATCCAGCAAAATACACTCCCACCTATTTTTCAACAAAATGGGAAGACTTCTCAGCAGGTGGAAACAACACAGTAAAGAGAGTTATTGGGGCACCCGTCTACATCATGGAACTGGTTTATAACTTAATCATAGAATAGAATCATAGAGTTGGAAGTGACCACAAGGGCCATCGAGTCCAACCCCCTGCCAAGCAGGAAACACCATCAGAGCACTCCTGACATATGGTTGTCAAGCCTCTGCTTAAAGACCTCCAAAGAAGGAGACTCCACCACACTCCTTGGCAGCAAATTCCACTGTCGAACAGCTCTTACTGTCAGGAAGTTCTTCCTAAGGTTTAGGTGGAATCTTCTTTCTTGTAGTTTGGATCCATTGCTCCGTGTCCGCTTCTCTGGAGCAGCAGAAAACAACCTTTCTCCCTCCTCTATATGACATCCTTTTATATATTTGAACATGGCTATCATATCACCCCTTAACCTCCTCTTCTCCAGGCTAAACATGCCCAGCTCCCTTAGCCGTTCCTCATAAGGCATCGTTTCCAGGCCTTTGACCATTTTGGTTGCCCTCCTCTGGACACGTTCCATTTTGTCAGTGTCCTTCTTGAACTGTGGTGCCCAGAACTGGACACAGTACTCCAGGTGAGGTCTGACCAGAGCAGAATACAGTGGCACTATTACTTCCCTTGATCTAGATGCTATACTCCTATTGATGCAGCCCAGAATTGCATTGGCTTTTTTAGCTGCCGCGTCACACTGTTGGCTCATGTCAAGTTTGTGGTCAACCAAGACTCCTAGATCCTTTTCACATGTACTGCTCTCAAGCCAGGTGTCCCCCATCTTGTATTTGTGCCTCTCATTCTTTTTGCCCAAGTGCAATACTTTACATTTCTCCCTGTTAAAGTTCATCTTGTTTGTTTTGGCCCAGTTCTCTAATCTGTCAAGGTCGTTTTGAAGTGTGATCCTGTCCTCTGGGGTGTTAGCCACCCCTCCCAGTTTGGTGTCATCTGCAAATTTGATCAGGATGCCCTTGAGTCCATCATCCAAGTCATTGATAAAGATGTTGAATAAGACCGGGCCCAAGACAGAACCCTGTGGCACCCCACTAGTCACTCTTCTCCAGGATGAAGAGGAACCATTGATGAGCACCCTTGGGGTTCGGTCAGTCAGCCAGTTACAAATCCACTGAGTGGTAGCATAGTCAAGACCGCATTTTACCAGCTTCTTTACAAGAATATCTGGGGCACCTTGTCAAATGCCTTGCTGAAATCAAGGTAGGCTACATCCACTGCGTTCCCTTCATCTACCAGGCTTATTTCACAGGGTCTGCTTGCCTGAAGTTTTGTGCAGAAAAATGCAGAATAAATGAATGTAATAAACACAGGTGCAGACGAGAGGGCAGTTTGGTGCGGGGGGAGGGGAGAGATAATGACCTTAAAGGTTTTTGTTTGTTTGTTTCAGCTCACACTGTATTGTTTCTAAACAGAAGACCAGCTTACTCAAATAACTTTTGACCTTCGTCTTTTTCACTTGTGACCCAGTTTTGTTCCAGAACCCATTTGTTTTCAGCTGTGTTACACCACCCCTCTTTGTGTGTGTGTGTGTGTGTGTGTGTGTGTGCGCGTGCGCCAAGATTGTGGCTATGGGACTGTCTCAACACAGAAGCAGTATCACTGCTGTGTCTTCCTTTGTGACTGACTCCTTTTTTTCAAATGCAAAGGGAGAGAATGGATGATGTGGCTGCCATGAAAAGAAAGGCACACCCCCTTCCTGCACTATGGTAAAAGTCTTTGCTGAAACAAGACTGCCTGGTCTTTTTATACCTTCTAGCCTATTAAAATCATTATAAAATTACTTTGTCAACCCAATTCCATGTTCGCTCTATAGAATTTTCTATATACAGAGAACCAGGTTGTGTCACACTTAATGGTGACCAAGAAATGAAACTCAAGGTGGCTGGAAGGTGCTGCGTTAACACAGAGGATGCCTCTATACTCAGTGTCTTCTGTTAACTTCTATGGGATAAAAAACAGTGGTGCCTCGCAAGACGAAATTAATTTGTTCCGCGAGTTTTGTCGTCTTGCGATTTTTTTCGTCTTGCGAAGCACGGTGTCGGAACAGGTTCGGAAAAGCTTCAAAAATCACCAAAGTCTTCAAAAACCTCAAAAAAGGCTACCACACCACATGCTATGAGTTGCTCCTCGAAGTCAAGTTGCAACTGTATTAACGGTGTTAAGAAAAAGGAAACAAACTTGCAAGACGTTTCCATCTTGCGAAGCAAGCCCATAGGGAAAATCGTCTTGCGAAGCAGCTCAAAAAACAAAAAACCCTTTCGTCTTGCGGGTTTTTTGTCTTGCGAGGCATTCGTCTTGCGAGGTACCACTGTATGCAAGCTGCCATCTGGGTGCTTCCACCCAGAATAACATCAACAAGCTCTTTCTGTACCAGTTATTCTACAGGGGGAAATGCCACACTTAAATACATAAGAAGATAAAGAGAGCCCTGTTGCATCACCAGAAGGGTGATTCAGCATTAGGTTTCCAACAGGTCAGCCAGATGTTTTCAGGAAGCAGGAAGGAAACAGTTACTCCCTGCTACCTCTGAAAATATATATGTCGGCTTTCTGTTGAAAGGCTCCTCCTCCTCACCTCTCCCCAACATGATGGGCATTTATTAATCAATACTTATTTATTTTGGCATTTAACAATGGCCTCTGAGTGGTTCACACACCTGAAATCGATAACATGCAAATAATAAGCATGGCAAGCACCTTGCCAGGCTCGTGAAGTGCAGAGCCACTTCTCTGCTGGTGGGATCCAGTTCTGCTGTGCTGGGCATCACCATTGTGTCCTGGAGCCAGCCCCATGTTTTGACTGGGTGCTTAGTGGTGTAACTCAGCAAAATATTTGAGCTGATAGAGGCATGTGCTAGCTATCATAGTAAAATACAGCACATCGGGTTTTGTGAGGCTGAATGCAGGATGTGGCCCAGCACACTAGTCTGCTTTGTCCTGTATTTGTTTGTTTTAAATGATTTTGTAATATTTAAAACATTCCAATTCTTAGCAGAACTGGAGCATGGTTCATATTATTTTCTCAGATGGCAAAAGAAAACCCATATTACCAAATCAAGAGTGCCATGTGAATATTGCTCATTGAGAATCACATCATAAACATTTTGTGTGAAAGGATCTTGTTGCTTCTCTGACTTCATGGGCTTTTGGAAATCCACAGGTGTAATGCAGTGCCACCTGGGCAGCTACACTGTCCCTCCTCCAGCATGTAGCAGGAGGATGTGAAAGCTGTGGAGGGTTCTTTGGTGGACACAGCTGCCAGAGCACTTTGAACCGAAAGGGAACAAAGGCTGCATTTGGAGCATATATTGTTCTAGGCTTTCAATGGGCAGAATATGCAGAGGAAGCACAAAGACTGTTGTATGTCACAGCTGTTGTTATGTGTCAAAAATGGACAACATTCATAATACACTTGGTTGCTTAAGGGGTTCAAAGTGCTCTGCCGGCAGCCGCCCTGAAGGCTCTTCTGAATCATGTTGATGGGATATAAATCTCAAAAGTGAATAAATAAGATAGTGAAGAGAGAAGAGGTGACTGGTTAACACCTGCACATATTCAGACTAAGAGAAATGAAGTGCAAAGTGATGGCCGCTGGGCCAAAACAAATCCTAATTTGCATGGGACCTGAGCTGGTCATGATTGACCAGGAAAGAGATCTTGGAGTCATGGTTGGCATCTCAATGAAAATGCCAGCCCAGTGTGTGGCAGCTGTGAAGGAGGTGAATTCCATATGAACGATCACTAGGAAAGGTTCTGAAAATAAAATGTTGTTACACAAATATATGGGACGCAGGTGGCGCTGTGGGTTAAAGCCTCAGCGCCTAGGACTTGCCGATCGAAAGGTCAGCGGTTCAAATCCCCGCGGCGGGGTGCGCTCCCGTTGCTCGGTCCCAGCGCCTGCCAACCTAGCAGTTCGAAAGCACCCCCGGGTGCAAGTAGATAAATAGGGACCGCTTACTAGCGGGAAGGTAAACGGTGTTCCGTGTGCTGCGCTGGCTCGCCAGATGCAGCTTGTCACGCTGGCCACGTGACCCGGAAGTGTCTGCGGACAGCGCTGGCTCCCGGCCTATAGAGTGAGATGAGCGCACAACCCTAGAGTCTGTCAAGACTGGCCCGTACGGGCAGGGGTACCTTTACCTTTTACACAAATATATGGTATGACTGCATTTGGAATGCTCTGTACAGAAAGATGCTCACTTCAGAGACGATATTGTAGAGCTGTAAAAGGTTCAAAAAAGAACACCTAAAATGATCAAGGGACAGAAGCAACTGCTCTACAATGAAATGTTTTTAAATTTGGGGCTTTTTAGTTTAGAGGGGAAGTGTGTAAGGGGGAAGTATGTGAAGAAAGTGGTTTGGGAGATGTGTGTCTCCTGATCCCCTAACACCAGAACCTGGAGCCTTTCAATGAAGCTCAGTCTTGGAAGATTCAGAAAAGGCAAAAGGAGGTATTTCTTCAACAGCTCATAGTTAAAACCATAGAATTTTCTGCCACAAGATGCAGGAATGGCCAGCAACTCTGATGTCTTTAGAATGGGTTAGACAAATTCCTGGAGGTTAAGGCTATCAATGGCCACTAGCCTTGATGTCTGTGTACATATCCATATCATATGTCTACATAGGGTATGTGTACCTATTCATGTCATATAATTCCAGAGGCAATATGCCCCTCCACAACTGTGGTTGGGAATCACCAGGGGAGAGAATGCTCTTGGTCTTGGTCCTGCTTGTGGGGTTCCCATAGATATCTGGTTTTCCACAGTGAGAACAGGAGGCTGGACTAGATGGGCTCCCTTTGGCTGACCCAGCAGAGCTTTTCTTATGAGCAGCTTCATTATAAAAGCGTAATGCTTGGGGAGTTCTCCTTGTACATGCTGGGTTCTTGCCTGAATCCCATTAATTTCTTTGCACTGAGTGTGCTCAAGAACCAAAACACCGTCCCTGGGTGCATACGCAGGTCCCCTTTCCTATCTTCCTCCATCACAACTTCCCCAGCTGGATTCAGGAGAGCCACCGTGTAAAATTATTTGCATAGTACAGGAAAATAAAAATTATTTCATAAAAGTCAGACCTGTTTGATTCTTGGAGCCTTTGAAGACAGTGAAACTGCATTGTGCAATTATACTGTGTTTAATACTCAGATTATGGAACAATGAAAGATGTATGTTTGCATTTTGTAAAATTAAACTGTATGCAGTTATTTATCTTTCACCTTAATTGTTTGAGCTTGTTTCTAATGTAAACTGTTGTAATTTTAAATAAATATAATAGAAAAAACTTTCCTAGGTATCGGAAATCCAGAGCAAATTTACTTTGCAAATAGGCTTTGTAGGTCTGCTCTGTGTCGAGGATCTTAAACTGACACTTCCATTCAAAAATATTTTGAATAACTTTACAGTACTGCAAACAGCTTCTGAAGGAGGTGACTACTGATATTTTGCGAAGAATCACATGCAAATTCATTTTATTTTAGAGCCAAAACCGAAGTCAAAAAGGCAAGGCTGTCATCCAAGCCGTAATTCCTTATTCTGTTGATTTCAGGGAGGAGAAGTGAAGGCTGTGTGTTTAACTTTCCCAAAGTCATACTGCTCAAAAGGGCTTCATTTGCCTGAAACATCCCCAAAACTCACACCTGTTATCTACCCCAAAATTAATCATATTGCAGGTAAGGAAGTCCTTTAGGAAAGGGCTGAAATGATTTGTATATCTGTATTTGCATCAAGACGCATGTGCCTGAAATGAAGCTGAAACACAATTAACTGCACTTGCTCTTATGCATCCAGTATTCTTGCTGCCTCTCCCTCTTTCCTTCTTTCCTTCTCCTTCTGTTGTCATCTTTCTGTTGCACACCCAATCTCCAAGCAGTGCAAAGTTCCAGGGTTTTCAAACACTTATCCAGGGTTCATATTTCCTTTTGGCAATGAGACACAGTGGAGACTGTGGCGTCTTTATGACATATGGTCTATTTCATAGAATCATAGAGTTGGAATAGACCACAAGGGCCATCGAGTCCAACCCCCTGCCAAGCAGGAAACACCATCAGAGCACTCCTGACATATGGTTGTCAAGCCTCTGCTTAAAGACCTCCAAAGAAGGAGACTCCACCACACTCCTTGGCAGCAAATTCCACTGTCGAACAGCTCTTACTGTCAGGAAGTTCTTCCTAAGGTTTAGGTGGAATCTTCTTTCTTGTAGCTTGGATCCATTGCTCCATGTCCGCTTCTCTGGAGCAGCAGAAAACAACCATTCTCCCTCCTCTATATGACATCCTTTTATATATTTGAACATGGCTGTCATATCACCCCTTAACCTCCTCTTCTCCAGGCTAAACATGCCCAGCTCCCTTAGCCGTTCCTCATAAGGCATCGTTTCCAGGCCTTTGACCATTTTGGTTGCCCTCCTCTGGACACGTTCCAGTTTGTCAGTGTCCTTCTTGAACTGTGGTGCCCAGAACTGGACACAGTACTCCAGGTGAGGTCTGACCAGAGCAGAAT